CTTAATACTTGGAGTGGTTGAAATTTTTTTCAGTATGCAATAAATGAGGGATTTTAATAAAAGGGACAAAGAAAATCTTTATAATAGGTACCACCGCAAAAAAACAAACATGATATCTAAGATTTAAATGAATTTTAAAAATGAAAAATATTTCTTGAACCTTTTATTTTAGTTTCAATTTCAAGTTAATAAATAGATTAAATTTAATATTTCCAGTAAGCAAAACAGTTTGCTGTATTTCAAAAACTAATTTAAATTGACTGGAAGGAGTTTTTTTTTTTTCCTAAAATAGCTGATTAGCACCATTTTTTAGTCATTTATCATTGCAATATAATTCTCTTTATTAAAAATCTTCCAAAAATAAAATATACTTTTCTGAAACTTTATTTGAAGAATATTAACTGATTTAAAATATAATTAATTTGATTTGAAATAAGTATTATTTACTTTAAGTTTGAAATATCGCAAAACTGCACTTTTTAATTTGACAGTAACTGTGTTTTTAAATTTTTTTTTTGTAGGTGTGTTGATATGCTAACAGTGTGATGTCAGATCTAATGTTTTTCAATGGAGACTTTATCTATAAGACATAATTAAAGAAAATGACATGAGCACCTTTTTTATATAATTTTTAAGTACTCAGTAATCTTAAAAATTTAGGAAAATATTCTCCATAATCTAATATTATATTGAATTTTAGAAATTTTGGCTTTAATGTTACTATAGTTAATGCTCTTATCTTCTGAAAACATTGTGTACAGCCATGCATACTTAAAAAAAAATCGACACATTTATACACATACAAAAAATTATAAATTCTTTTAAAAATATTGGTATTTGATGATTTGTATTAAGCTTTTGCATTTATGATTAGTAAATATAGTTTTCACATAATAACATCATCTAAAAGGCTGAAATTAATATGGAATTTTAAAAGATTTAAAAATGAGAGCAATTCTTGTAAAAATTATTCATTGAAAGTTTTTTTTTTCTAAGACAAGAGCATTCTTAATATATCTTAATTAGAAAACTTTAAAAATAAAATAATGTTATAGTTTTATTGCATTTTAATTTTACAATTCAGAACATATTTTCAGTAAACAGTCTTTCTGTTTGACAAAAACAAATTGATGATTCAAATTCTCCAAGAGTCCTGCTTTTAACTAATTTAAATATGAAGAGGCTGTAATTTTAATTTTTTTTAAATTTCATGAAATTTAGCGAGGGGTATAAAATAAATATCATACATATACATACATATATATATGTACATATATATATACCAAGATTTTATAATGATAAAAAAGAAATTAAAAATAATTTAATTCATTATTGAATAAGTCCTGAAAATTTTATTAAAATCCAACAATTATTTGATTTTTGCAAGAATTTCCAAAACAATGTATTTTTAACACCCAAAAAGACTCTAAAATTTACAATACTAATCTTTGGCTCACCCATTGATGCAAGAAAAACAAATTTTAACCAGAATTTCTAATGTGCCAGAAAGAATTAAAACATTTAATAAAATAATAAAAAATACTTTGGTCTTTCCTCTTAATAACAACAAACATTTTGATGATATAACTTTGTTTTTATCAAGTTTGTGTCTTTTTTTTCATCATGGTATGCTTTTTTTTTTTTTTTTTTTTTTTTTTAGAAAGTTTTTGGAAGTACCTACTTTAAAGGATTAAAAAATGTGACATTAATAAATGTGGTGGTTTTGATAAGCTTGGGGAGATCAAGAAATTTGCTAAAGAAATGCATAAAACAAACTTTTCACTTTTTATTAGGTACCTAAATGTCTGCTTCTAATAAAAAAACATTTTTTCTTAGGTAAAAGCAAATTTCTAAAAATGTCTTCAGTGTTTTCTAAAATCTATGGAAAAATTTAGGAATTTTTTTCTCAGTTTTAAAACTTGTTACCTGCAGCATCTATTTTGTGAAATTCTCCAGTTTTTTTTCAGTCTTACTTCAGTATGTATGACAGAAATTTAAGACATTGATACCTTAAAGACAAATACCAATGAAATACATCTGATGGCCAATTTCTACATTTATAGACTTTTTCTACTTTTAAATATTTTTTTGACTGTTTTACTGTTTTTAAACTGGATAAACCAAAAATACATGCTTATCGCATTTACAATTTATTCAGTTCAGTTTTACATTCTTGACACTATTCTTCTAATTTTATGGGCGATCATGGCTCTCCACAACTTCCTATTCCTTTGTGGCCCTTGTCAGTGTTTGTCCCTTTGTCAAACCTCTTACCCTCTGTTCTGCCAATGATTCACACAAGCTTGTCAGGTAGGTAACCCAGTGCTTTCCTCTACCTCTCTTGGGCCCCCATATGCCCTATGAGGGTAAACATCAATAGCCTTCCTTACTCTTTCAGCTAGGTAGGTGCAGTGGAGTAATGGATAGCAGCTCGGATTGAGGAATTGGAGAGCTGAGTTCAAATTCCAGTCAGATCCATTATGTTCATTTATGTGCTAATACCCTTAGGAAAGGTATGAACCCGTTCTCCCACTAGTTATGGAGAAATAGCAGGAGAGATGGGGTTTTATACCCTTGGAAGGCAACTGGTCTACTGCAGAAGGAAATGGCAACCTACTATGGGGGAAAAAAAAGTCATGTATCGAAAGATACTTGATCGCCTAAGTGTGTAGGTGGCAGGGAACCAAGAAACTGGAAGAGCATTTCACAGGTGAGAAGTGCAAGAGAAGAATCTCTCAGAAATGGCAAACTACTGCAGAAAAAAAAATCTGCCTCATCAGTCATGTATCGAGAGATACATGATTGTCTAAGCATGTATCACACATGGCACATAACTGATTGATCCTTAATTTTGAGTGAACAGAATCGTATGCAGTATGCTGCAATTTTATTTTATATGAATTTCATTTTTGTCTAGTATTTTTTTGTAATCATTTCACTCCAAGAAAGCCAATAATCTCACTAAGACACAAGGGGTCACTGAGAGTGAAAGAAAATGAGAAGACATTACTGAGAAGACAGGAGAATAAAAGATCAGGATTCAGGAGAACAGAAGATTCCGAGCGATGTTGCATTTATATTTTTGAAGATTGTATGAGGCAGGGAAGCAAGAAATATAAGATATGATTATCATGTATTGATTTTAGATTTTTATGAAGTGTATTTAAAATTGCACAGTGTAGTAATGGATAGCGGCTTGGAGTGAAGAATCTGAGAGCCAAGTTTGAATTCCAGTCGGATCCATTATATTCATTTATATGCTAATACCCTTGGGAAAAGTATGAATCCTCTTCTCCCCCTCGCTTGGGGAAAATAGCAGGACAGACCAGGTTCTGTAGCCTTGGAAGGCAACTGGTCTGTCACAGAAAGAAATGTCAACTTACTGTGGGAAAAAAATCTACCTTGTCAATAATGTATTGAAAGATACATGATCGCCTATGTGTCTATCATGCATGGCACATAACTGACAGATTCTTTAAGCTATCTCTTTCTGATTCTAAGTAGAAGTGTTCTTTTTGTTACCATTTTTATTTTGATGATTCCTTGTTGCTTACTCATTCTGTCCATGGTATTCTTAGTATACTTCTTTAGAACCATGTTTCTGCTGCCTCCTATTTTCTCTTCATTTGTGGTGAGATTGTCCAGCATTCACTGTCCTATACAAGGACATAGCAATCACATAGCAATTTAGCACTCTTTTCTTTGTTTCTAATGAATATTTTTTGACACAGATTGAAATGACTCCTAAAGTTTTTAAAGAACAATATAGGTCAGAAAACATAGTGAGCAAAATGTTGTCATCATAATTAACAAATACAACATTCTGTTGTGTGTTGTTTCCCTTCAAGTGATGGGCAATCATGGCTCACCACAATTTCCTATCTTTTGTAGCTCTTACCAAAATAGTCTTTTCTTTTCCTTTTCCTCCCACACCCAGTTCTGCCAAGCAGTTACACAGGCTCATTAAGTAGGTTACTCACTGTTTTTTTATGTCTCACTTAACTTTTATATATACAGTGAATGTCAAATTTTTTAATCTTTTTTCTTTATTATGTAGCCTAGTAATTTTAGTTGTTTCATTCTGATTCTAAACTGATTGAATATTACTGCCATATCTAGTCTGGTGATCTGGCTGTTGAGATTTCAGACAAAACCCAAAGAAGGGTCTGTGATGTTATTGCTCCTGACCTGTCATCTCAACTTCAGTCACTTTACGACCACCATTATTTGGCTTCTCTATTTTTTTTTTTCATTGCAATTGTTCTAATGTACTCTCCTCCTTGGTATCTCAATCATGTGAATTTAAGCGTATACTAGATTGGCAACTTGGTCTCATCATTTAACTAGTAACCAGAAGTTTTATTCAAATACATGGTGTGGCAGAAATATCCCCCATATATGACCTCATATAATGGTAGTTTCTTTCCTCGTCTTTTGAGATTTCTCCTGAGTTTTTGCTTCTCTGCTACCTACAATCTTCAAAAAATTTCATCAACATCATCTGTCTTCCTGGAGTCTGTTCTTTTATTGCTTTTTCTCCTTATTAATGTTTCTTCAGTCTCTTTAACTCCCAGTAACCCCTTAGTGGCATTACCACCTTGCTTGGGTTGAAATGTTTTTAAAAAAAAAAGTGTGAACTTTTTGTTTCCATTTTCCATAAAACTTCCTCATTGCATACATGCTCCGGCTATAGTGATTTCAGCATCCTTTGGTGAAAACCATATCCCTGTTGCTTCAAGTTTTCTCTTATTCTTTGAAGAATTACAGTACATAATCGAAGTAGGACATTATTAGATTTAAACTCATGTCTTTGGGAAAGTTACTCTGTCAGAATTCCAACCAAAATATATCACAAACAGCTTGCCAGTGAAGACAAAAAAAAAAAACTATAAGATTTTGACAAGAGAGATAATCACATTCCATAAAATATTGTATTCATTAATAAATGTTGAATATATCTTTTTATAGAATCAATTATTTCTCTTTTCTTTATCTTTCAGGTGATATGGACAAATCAACGTCATACACTTTTAACAATGCGTGATCGGAGAATCACTGACGATGTCCGTATCATGGTGGTTCGTGACCATCAAGGTGAATGGAATCTTCACATTCGAGATGTTGAACCCACAGACCAAGGCCAGTACAACTGCCAAATTAATACACACCCTGTCAAAATTAATAAAGTTAACTTATTTGTGTTAGGTAAGTGCTGTTATTTTTGTTAATTTTTTTGTTAAAAATATTATTATTTTCCCTTTTATGTGCGTGTGTGTATGTATGTATATATATATATATATATATATATATATATATATATTTGGTTGGATTGATGTGAGTTTGTGACCCTGGGTTTTACTCTTTTGTGATCGTCAGAGTCTGATGATCAAAAGCGTGAAACCCAGTGTCACAAACTCACATCAATCCAACCAAATATGTTAGCTCTATCTCTGACATTGAGCGCTTTCTAATAAGCACTGCATATAATATATAAATAATTATATATATATATATATATATATAGTTACGTACCCTTATAGATATATATATATATATATATATATATATATGTGCGGTGCCTATTAGAAAGCATATATATATATATATATATAGTTACATACCCTTATAGATATATATATATATATATATATATATATATATATATATATATAGTTGCTTACCCTTACATATATGTTGCTTTTGGTGGAGGAGGGGCATATTCAACATTTAATAATTTTGCAGCAATACACGCTTGAAGGTTTTAGGCAGTTTTGATCAACATTTCTTTTCATGTTTAGGCATAAGGAATTGTAAATGTAGCACTACCTTATATATAAAAATTAAAATAATAACAATAATAATATTTATTAAGAATTTATTACAGGAAATATCAAGTTTTATGGAAACATTTTTAACAATTATGTATTACATAACAAATAAATAAAAATAATATAAATTTTGATGCTATATTTTATTTGTTGTTAGGTGTTTTTCATTTTCTCTCTTGTTATTGGCAGCATTTGAGAATACTTTGGCTACAATGCTAAATTTCCTAAGTTGAACAAAATGGAGCTATTTTGTTTATGCTTTATGTCTTTTTTCATTGTTGTTTTTAGATTGCTTTCTTCCAGTCAATGGCCAATAGCAAAATTCTGAAATTTAGAATAATCTTATTCCATTTCAAAAATAAGACCTATATATTATCCTACTAAATTTATCACAGCTACAATTGAAAAGAATTTATCTAAACTCAACATAAACTTTATTACAACTACTTCGATACATCAATAACAGATTTTGTCAATATAAAACAAAACAATAAGCTAAAATTTGAAGGATGAATTTAATCTATTTACTCTTATAATTGACACAAAATGTACTTAAGAGAAGCATCAAGAATTTTAAATAAAAGATTATACGAATGCAAAAGAGACATTTTGCAAAACACATTAAATGCATTAGTTTTTTCCTGAAATGTGACTGACCACAATTTTGATATAAAAAATGCTACTCTCATCAAAGGAAAAAACAATTCACTAAGACAAAAATGTTTAGGGTGTACCTTGATCACTAGATCATCAAGAGTAAATTTTCACCCAGATTCATACAATATTTTACCATTTCTGGCAAATCACCTATTGTCACAGTGTAGGATATCTAATAACAAAAGTGATGGAAATGAAAAGAAAAAGAATATGAATGAAAGGGACTAGATTATATACCCAAAACACATTAAAAAAATGAAAAATAATTTAAAATTTAGAATTTCCTGCATTTCTTGTTCATGCACATGTGTAGTTGCACAAATACAAAAAATTCAGTCTGATGAAATCCTGAATGACAAAATATATCACACAAAAATTTTTTTATACTTTGACATACATCTTTCCCCCAAAATTGTTCTTGATATATCAAAATTTATATATCATTATCCCATACATACATACATATATATGTTGGCTGGCTATTCATTTCCAAAGTCATCCATCTCTTAGAGTGCCTAGCCAATCACTGTTGCAAACACTGGCTCAAGCATATTTCAGCACCCATGGAACCCACCTGTGGTTTATACTACAAACATGATGAGTGGACCTGAGATGAGCTTATAATTTGGAATGTTCAACAGTTTGAACAAGGCTAGTATGCACAAAACCCTTAATCATGATAACTTGTGACTTGTGCATCCATCAATGGCTTCTGCAAAAGTTTCATTTATTCAATTTTGCTGTGATAACATCTACAGGCTGATAAGTCACCTCCTGAAAAATTAACCATGGTGTGATTTGAATCTGGGTCACTTGTAGGGAATGCATATATTCTAATCATTTGAATATATTCACATATATACATATATATATGTGTGTGTGTGTGTGTGTGTACTATTCAAAAGTGTGAAGCCAACTGCGCAATTAGTTTGGAATTAATTTAATAGAAGAGTGAAAAAATAAAAAAGATCTCTTGGAGTCACTGAAAAAAAAAGGAATCAATTATCAAACTTATTGTTATAGGAACTTACCTATAACGATAATGACACTATAAATACTGTGCCTCTCAAGAGGTATAATGAATGAATGGTGTAACGAGTCGAGACAATATTAGTTCATTCTAAACCAGAAGGACAGTCATTACTAACACCTTCAACTTCTTGTACTATATTTCTGTTGTAATATATCTTTGTTATTCTACTCTTGTGTTCGTGTTGTTCTTCCTTGGTTCTAACCTTGGACCATAACTGTGGTGTGAGGATATTGGACCATAACACTTATACTTTGAGAAACTTTTGCAATGAATACAAAAATTTGTGGTGCAGTAATCGAGGATAAAGGAGGATATTTTTATGAGAGCAAAATTTAATTATAAAATGCTTTTTTTTCTTTTTACCATAATAAAATTTCTAATAAAAAATCACGTTTCCATTATTTTTAACTATGTATAATAATTTCCTCTTACTTAAAGTACAAAACTACATTTTGGGCCAATGTAAAAAATTACCAGGGGTTACCTCAAACTTTTGAACTGTAGTATATATAAACTGCTAATCTCATTTTTAACAATAATAACTCACTTGCAAGATCCAAATTACAGATAACAATATTATTTACAAATTCATATGTCCCTTAAGGAACTGTGTTCCTGATCAATCCAAATTCATAAGTACTTATATTAGATATACTACAACATGCCTAATGAGAAGACTCAAATTGCATCTCTCTTGTCTTAGTTCAATTAACTTACATTTAAATAGACATGAAGAACTACCAAGCTTTATCAGCAACATTCTCATTGATAATACAAATATAATAGCCTCATGCACATGTAAAAAAAGATTATAAATAATTGAAGCATTATTAATAAAAAAGAAAAAGCCAAGAATCAATAATATCACCTATGAACACGGCTAGAATGTGTTGACCATGTTTGGGAAATAAAATATTCCTAGATATATACATTCATTTAAAAGTAAAAATAAAATCAGCCTTGATAAAAGTATAGTGGAAAGTGCTTGGACGTACAAAACATTCGGACAATTTCTAAATAATTTATGTTCACTAAAGAAGAAAATTATGAGAATACGAGAAAAATTAAATAAAAACAAAAACTTAACCACAGTACCTTATCAGTCATTTTTAATGAAAAGTTGAATGTGCCTCAGTTGAAGAAGTAAAAAAACATTTGAAAAAATCACATCTACACTGTCCATATTTGAGGATGAATTATGTAATGACATTACTCAAAATCATGCTTCACTCATATATATATATATATAATCCCTGTTCTGCAAGTAATGCTTGCTTTAATTTTTGGTCCCTGATAATGTTTAATGTACCATGTAGTTATCAAGTACAAAGAATTTTAATTTTACTTAAAAAAAAATTACCAAAACTGTTGTAAAATCATCAATGGATCCCTACTGTCAAAATATTTAAATTTCTTGTGTAGAAAAGAATAAAAGCTAAGAATTAAGTGTTGGAATAGATGTAAACCCAGTGGGTATAGATAAGAAAAGCTGAAACCTTATTATTGTTTTATCATTTTAACCTTCTGTCAGAATTTACTGTGTTATTAGATATGTAATAAATAATGTGATTGAAAGTTTTGATTTAATAAATTCTACCTATGATAGCACAGATTTGAACTGTCCATTTTGTACTGAGGAAATGCTACTAAAACTTAGTTAAGAAAAAGGAAATATGATTTTTTTTGCTTGTTTTTTTTTTCTTTGGTAAAAAGCCACAGAATATTGAACTCACTATAAAAAAACTTTTAGCGATTGCTGTTGCACTGGTTAATTCTGCCAACTGTCCAATAAGATGTCTTTTAAAATAGCTATATATATATATATATATATATATATATATATATATATATATATATATATATGTGTGTGTGTGTGGTAGCAAAACTAAAATCTTCAAGATGAAGACATTGAATGTAAATCTTTGTAATATGGTTGCTCTTTGGTCAAAGCTTATTGTTGTCAGCTGTGGCACGTAGCCAGATCATTGAATTCACTTGTCTTTCTTTTGTCAAACCTCTCAGCAGGCAAGGAATCATTGCCAAAATGTGACTAGCTGATGGTCTGACTGGTCTCTTAGCCTCTGCAGACCTCACCTGGCCAGCGCTTGTAGACGGCAGCCTAAATCAGCTCGCACACAATTCTAGAACAAATCATGGCTTACAGATTGTTTCAGATGACAGTTAGCTTTGTGCCAACTGATTTTGAACTCTAGGTTATTTTCATAATGGAACTAGCACCTTTTGACCACGAAAGAACCCAAGTTAGAAAGGGGGCATATATTTTGGAACACAATTAAAGTGATGAAATAAACGTGTACTTGGAGAATATAAGAACAAATAGGATTTTACAATTCAATCTAACTTTAATTTTTATCAACTCTGGTACACCTCCGATTCTGCCTGTAGCAATGGTTCCAAAATCTTACTGAATTAATAAGATTGCTGGACCAACCAAGGTCAGATAAATACTAATTCAATAATAGATGTCTGTAACAACAATTCGGCATCAATTCAGCTCCAAGACACTTGATATTTACAAAGCTTAGTTTAGTTTGGCACAGGAGATCTAATGGAAGTAGGAAGATTGTGTTGCCATCATCATTCAGATGAGGAAATATTACTGTTATATTGTTAAGTTATTCTGTAGACATGCTGTGGAGTTTGGTATGAATTGCTAAAACTAAAAA